TTCTTCGTCGTGGTCCTCTTGATGCAGGTGCGCGGCGGCTTCTTCCACCCGAGGTCCGCCATGGCGGACTGCCTCCTTCGGTCACCGCCTCAGCTATGGCGCATCGGCCCTGCACACGACGGCGCGCGTGGAACAGCGGGTACCTGCTCAGATACCAGTGCAATCAGACTCGACTTATTCACACTTTTCATGCACGTGAACAGCAGAACATACACACTTCCCCTAAGCTACAGCTATGGCGGCTATGGCCGCCGCTACCCTACTTCTATGGCTACGGTATGTCACTCTCGCCCACTCCGTCTTCGGGCCAAGCTGCTGAGGCAGCGCTTCCGCATGGCWTCCGCAGGAATGAATGAATGGCTGGGCGCAGCCTCTTGATTTATACTTGTGTGCTGCGTTGGTCTGCCCTGTACCCCTGGCCCATTGTGCACACAGTCCCAGACGTTACTTGCTGGACTGGACCGGACTGGGTGAACTGGGACTGCTGACTGTACTATGTGGACTACCGCCACTTGACCACTTGCCTCTGCTTAACGCAGGCTCACTCCGAAAGGCCACTTCTAGAAACCTCTAACTTGGCCTTTCGGTACCGTAGCAGCTACGACTTTGCCCTTTCAGGCAAGTAGCAGCTACGACCTTGACCCTTCAGGCAGTCTACAGCTACCACCGCTAAACTGTCTATACTCCTACCCTACAGGTCTACAGTTTGAATCCCTTCTACCCTGTGACCTACGAGAAGCTACCTACCACTGGCGGTCCTACAGGTAGCAGGTTCAAATCTACGGGTTGACACCGGTACTGTACACAGGTAAGATGGGGAACTACGGATCGAGCCCTGGGATCTGCATCAGCTACCGCGAACTGGTGAATACCGTTTCACAAAGTCTCCTGGGCCTCAAAATGGCCAAAACGTGGATCTGATAAATCTGGAATGCGAACAGACAAAACCGAGAATCGACTAAAGTCTGAGAAACAAAGCAAACCTAAGAAAAATAACTATGGACAAAATAATTGATGTTGTTTCAAAGAAAAGCAATTAAGCTGGTCCAGGAGAGAAGAGCTGGACCAAGCTCTACCAGAAGAACAAAAGGTCCAGCCCAATGCGAACAAAGTCTCCTGGGCCTCAAAATGGCCAAAACGTGGATCTGAGAAATCTGAAATGCGAACAGACAAAACTGAGAATCGACTAGAGTCTGAGAAACAAAGCAGACCTCAGAAAAATAATTGAATGGAACAGACAAGACTGAGAATCGACGAAACTCTGAGAAACAAAGCGGACCTCAGAAAAATAACTGAATGGACAAAATAATTGATGTTGTTTCAAAGGAAAGCAATGAAGGCCCTGGAACTGAACCACAGTCATTAGTTCACCCAAAGGGAGTTTCGCGTGGCTCTAGGGCCCAAGAGTCCAAGGTTGGGCCCTCCCGGGGCCCATGCATACCACACTATGATGTCTCCCTGAAGCCTGTCCCTCAGCGGAGGTACATGAGCACCTCCTTCTTCTAGCTCTGCTACCATTCTTGCTCTCACTCTGCCTCTCACTCTGTCTGCCTCTCCTCCAGCACGAGCACACACAGCGGCACTCCAGCAGGTGCAAGGCAAAGAGTGCTGGAGCTAAGGCCCTTCTATTGTCGTGCTGAGTTGGTCTGCCTTAGTAGCAGCCTTACCTCCTCCAATTGCTGAGATTCTTTGGTCTGTGTGGCCAAGATCTTGCTGCGACCTTAGTGTGCCTTCACCCAGTCGACTATTATGCCTCTGGAAGTACTTTCCAGGCCTTCGGATTGGCGAATTTGGCATGAAATGTGCCCATTGCTGCCGTGTGGAGGTATCTGTGACTTTGGGACTCCTGGACCGTGTAGAGCCGAACAACTAATCTCTCCCAGGGCTGGAGTCGACGTTCAAGGCCCTGGATAGTGAATGTGGATGCTGAACCTCTAGCCTACCAACCCCAGGGCCTCGGCTTGTGCCCCTGGGACCTTACAGCCCAACTTTTAACCCCAGGTGTTAAGTTGGCCAAAAGCTATGATTGGCAGTGCTGGTTTTGACTGTGGAACCTTACATTACACTGTGTGGGTGAAAAAACTGAAAATTTATAACATAGTAAACGCATTTAACGCAGTGCATTTTCGCCAACATTGGTTTGTGCTTGGCAACTCCAATCATCTGCAAGGTACATTATTTAGAATATTGGGCAGTCTACTCACACCGAACTGACGGGTATGTCTTTGCGTGCATCTGCATGCCTTTTTGTCTGTTTTGCAGCGCATTTACGGCTTGGAAAGGTGAAATATCTATGCAAGAAATCAGCAGGTGTGAAGGAGGATGGTCAACATCGGGACCAGCTTAATCAAGGCGAGGAGATAAATGACGTGGTATCTGACAAAACAACAGGGGGCTGCTCTTATAAACTGTTGCCATCTTATTGCCATCCGGGAAAGCCAGATGGCCCTGAGAAGACTGCCAAGCGCGCTCGTACAAGTGTAGGCAGCAGTGTCACTGATGTGAGTGCTGCTTCTGCACAACGAGCCGGGTTCTTGTCAGGTGCTGATGAAGAAGTGCCACCTAGTGCAACGTTTATGCCTGCCGCAATGTCGATGGTGATGTCCTCCGAATGCCCTGTTAGAGAGCGGGACATACACTCGGGGTGTGTAGAGCGTGTCATGCAGGGCACCATTTCCGGTGCAAAAGACAGGAGTGAGAGCAGTGGTTGCAGTCTGAATGGCCCAATGACTGAGCTGGCACTTTCTCAGGGCTCTGGTGTTGATGATGAAACTGATATCCATCTGGGAATGTCGCCCACTGCGAAAGTTAGGACTAGATTCCACCACACCACTACAACCACTACAGGAAGTTCCCTAAGCCCGGTATCTCCGTCCAGCGAAGGAAGTAAAGAAGCGGCAAGATTAGAGATGACAGGAGCATGCTTGCGACCAGCATGTAATTCCAGCAACGGGTTCAACCATCATCCACAAAATAAGTGTGTGGCTCCTGCGATCGGGATTGGGAGCATTTCGACACCGAATGTGCGCTGTGGTGGCGCTTATGCAGGCCCAGTTGCTGGGCCTGGCTTCATCAGCAGTGGTAGGCTGTCTGCATTTCGCCCCTTGGGCAAAACAACGGCATTGATGTACAGCAACTCGAGTCAGAATGGAGATGGACAATCTCCAGTCAAAGTCTCATTGGCATCCGACAGAGGTGTGGTGAATGATATGGATAAGGTGTCAGGTGTGATGTGCTCCAACCAGCAAAGGCAAGCTTGCTCAGGAAATTCTGTGTCCACCAGCCTTGGGACATGTGTGGTGGGAGATTCGGTCAAGCTGACACTGGCCACAGGAGTCCGAGGGGACTCGTCTTCACCCCCTCCATCCCCCAAGCAAGGTTCACTTGGACAGTCAGGATGCACATCAGGATCCGATCAGCCTGAGCATGATGCGAAACCACTTCTGTGCAAGATTGATACAAAGGCTTCCGGTTCCCTTTGCTCTGAGGCCAACTCAGAAGAGCGGGATATGGTCCAGGAGGGATTCTGTTGTCTTCCTGTTATCTCCCTATCCCTCAAATCTATTTCCGATGATGTCCACCCTCGTTGTGGGGATCCGGTGAAGCATCGGGAGCCTATAGAGCAGGTGAAGAAGGGTACCTCTCAAGGAAACCGTAACCTTTTCATGCTCACTTCCTCGACCATCAGCGAGGAGCAACTGGAACATTGTGATCACCCCTCGTTCTGCAATCGGGCCACATGTGTGATTGCTGAGGAATCTCATCACGAAGGTAGTGAGGATATGTTGGAGAAAACAGATACTGTGGGTACGGGAGAGGGGGCAGCCACTTGCAAGGTGGAGGATGGAGAATTGAGCCTGCAGGCAGACTATTGCATCAAACAGCCTGGGTCTGCAAAAAGTGTGTCATCCAGTCCTGTGTCCTTTGCAGTGGCCCACTGGCCGTGTGCTGTATTGGCTGATGAGGAGCATGATGAGTCTGCACTGCAGAGGGTTGAAATCGTCCCTTTGAGTTCAAATGCAGGAATGTCAAGTCGAATACAGCCAGTGATTATAGATGCAAACACATGCTTGACGATGAGCACTTGCAGCGCTACGGCTGCCCGGGACACAAGTCCGAACTCCGACAAGCACAGCCATCCTCCTGCGCCCAGACCTCTGGCACCGTCACCAACAGCCCCGCCTTTGCCATGTGACATTTCGCAGTCATCTGGGCCACTGTCTGCGATGTCGTTAGCAACGCAGCACTGGCTAAGTCCACTCCTGTTCCCAAGTTCTGGTCCATCTGGTGGCACCTCGGCTGCAGCAGTGCAACTTTCGTCATCACTGCTGAATCCTTTGGTGCTCGGAATGGCCCCATCGGTAGCTCCTATCGGCAGTGTTCTGTGCACCAATAACATGGGAGGAGGGACAAACCCCTTTGGGTGGGCTGGCGTCTCGAGAATGATGCCGTGGGCCTTGGGCCTTCATGAAATGATCGGAGGCATGGCTGGGCTGGTTGCAGCAACTTCCTCCATAAGGCGTGCTGCCATTGAAGCTGGGGGCTGGGGAAGTACAGCAGCTGGAGAATCCTGCAGTGCCTGGAAAGCCTCGGACGACTCAGGTAATCATTCTGTGTCCTCGAGCTCGGTTGATTGTAATTCTTCATTATCCATGGCAGGCCTCGCCGTCAAAAGATTTTGAGAGAAGAGACATTTTGTGTTGGGCTGAGGCTGCATTCGACAACTAATGTACTTCTTGGTTTTTGTTGACTGGTGCTTTCCACTTGTACAGTACACTTGAGTATTTTTCTTTACGAAATGTCACGCAATGAAGGTGGCAGGAGTATAAAGGGATGGTTGCCTACGGGAGCCGAGGGCAGTAGGGGACCGAAGGGCTGACGACTGATGGCTTCAAAGAGTGACGGACAAACAGACAATGTGGAACAGGGTCAGACAATCAGGTTTGGTGCAGGGAATTAGTTAAACAAGGGGTTTTCCATATAGCCGGGCTTTATGTGTGTCGAGGAACACAATCCACAGCCTGGTTATGCGAAGTGCAATATTTCTTTGGTGTAGAGCTATGGGAGTGTGGCTTTAGGGACTTGTGTGACAGCCATGCTGGCAGGCTCTTCTGTAGACATGGATAGTGTTATGTGAGTTGGTGCTTTGCAGATATCGTTTGCCTGACTAACCGTAACTCTATGTTCGCTTTAGAAGGGAAAAAGTTGCTCGCTTTCTGGGGTGGGGGCAATTCTGTTTCTACTTATGAACTCACATTTACCATGGTCAGTTACAGAGTTCTCTGCGGAAAATTTCTGTCCAGAAACTGACCGCAGTCTTACGATTGTATAAGATACTGTGTATCATCAGAAGGAAGGGAATGCAGTCTTCTAGGATAAGCTGTAATGCATGCTCAAGGTTAGTTTCACCGAGAGAGCAAGTGAATTCGCGACTGGAAAACGAGCAATGTCGTGGCGTTATGTACTAAATGGAGGAGACGGGGATGATGACAATCCCGCATTGAGTTAGTGTATGGGGGTATGCAGCGCGTGAAATAGTCTGCGAACAGCGCAGAGGGGATAGGTGATCCCAGTGACAGTTGTGATGTGTTCACAGATATGAAGGTTGTCAGCTACGTGCAGGAGCTGCGTACAAGTTTTTGTTTAGAATTGGGGAGATTGTACTTGCGCTATAGAAGGAATGAGGCTGTATGCCAGGTGCTGACTGCATTGATCGATCCGTTGAGATTATGGATGAGCATTTTACTCTGCCTTCGCTTCCTCCCGTTTATCTTTACTCCTAGACTAGATCACGGGGGGATGTTGTCTATCAATGCCCCAGTTTTGCAGTTCGGCATAGCCCTTTCGGTCCATGTAGTTTTATATTGCAGGCGAATGATATGGCAGTTTAGGCCCAGTGATACTCTGGTCATGGACGACCATCTGTGTGTGACATTATTTTTTGACAGTAGATCACTTTTTCTGAGGGTAACTTGTCAATGACGATGACATTGTCACTCTCGCTGCTCGTTCATTGGCACTGTGTAGGTTTATTTATTGCTCTGGTTGTGTGTGGAAGTTTTGATCATGGATCGTTTCATTCAGGGTATATCAGGCAGGATCTTGTGGTTGGTGCTTGCCTTCAACTTCGAGTTTCGTGTATTTCATCTTGTTCTTTGGTTTTCCTCTTTTGTCCCTGCTCTTTCTCTTTTGGTCACTTTCTGTCAGGGTCGATTACTAAAAACCCTTGTAAATATGGAAAACGTTTTTCAAAACTTCAAAACTTCCTATTGCTTAATGCAGAAATGTAATAAGTTTGTGCCACTTTGTGGTATATCCGCACAGCTTTGATAGGAGCATTCCTGATAACTTGTATTTATTGCTAGAGGGGATCACTCTGTGTGTGTGTGTGTGTGTGTGTGTGTGTGTGTGTGTGTGTGTGTGTGTGTGTGTGTGTGTGTGTGTGTTTCCTAATTGATGCCGCTGCTGGGGTTTGGATGTGTATAATGTACCAAGTAGCAAGTTCAAATTCAGTTCAGTGCATCTGTGCTGCTGATCCCTCCCTCCACCTATCTGCCAAGCCGTCTGCCCACACTACCACTCACCACCTGTTTCTGTTCGTCCCCCCGTATGGTTTCTGGCCATTATTTTACTCCACTTGTTCATCCGTGACCCATCTACAACTCTTCTTGCCTGCTAATGTGCATGGCCACACTCCCTGCACCACCGTCTATCATCTAATTGTTTCCCACCGGTCTGGAAACATACTTGCCGCTCTCTGTTCGTCTTCATCGTCGACTCTCTGTCTGTCTGTCTGTCTCTCTCTCTCTCTCTCTCTCTCTCTCTCTCTCTCTCTCTCTCTCTCTCTCTCTCTCTCTCTCTCTCTTCCCGCCCGCTGTCTGTGTGTTTTGGACTTTTTCCTGCCCTTTTTCCCTTTTTGGCTACCTCTTTCCATTCCCGTTCTTTTCCCTTTCCCTCGTACTCTTTTGTTCACCCCATGTCTCTCTCTTCCCTATTTTCCTCATTACTCATTTTGTCATTCTCGTTCTCATTCCCCTCACTCTCTGTCTACCTCCTTTCCTCGCGGTTTCCCTCCTTCCCTTATGACCTCTTATTTTCCCTTGCTCTCTTTTCTGTTGTTTGGTTTACCTACCTACCTCTTCTTCTGGTTTGGCTTTCCGTTTCTGTTGATTTCCATTTCTGTTGATTTCCATTTCTGTCTGTATCCCTCTCTGTGCCTTGCGCTCCCGTTTTCACTTTGGTCCCTTTCTACTTTCCTTTACTCTCACTCTCCTCTTCTCTGTTTCCCTTTTTTTTTTTTGGTCTCTTTCCTCTCTCGTGTTCTGTCCTTTTCCCTTTCTCTCATCCCCTCTCCAGATCCTCATTCTTCCCTTTCTTCTTCCCTCTAGTCCTCCCTTTCTCTCCTTCTCCTAATCTTTCCTTTCATTCTGCTTCTCCTTCTTTTCTTTGTTCTTCTTGTCCTCGTCTTTCTCCTTGGTTTTCTCCTGCTTCTCCTCCTTTCTGTATTTCCTCTCATTGCGATGACTTTTTGGTCTACTTCTACATCTTTGCTCTTCTTCCTCCTGTTCTCCTTCCTCTTTCTTCTCTGCTTCCTCCCACACCATGTTATTTTTCAGCTATGTTTTTTGTCCCTCTTCCTGTTCTTCCTCTTCATGTTTTTTCCTTTTCTTGTTTTTCTTCCTCCTTTCCTTCTTTTGCATCTTCCTCTTCCCCTCCATTCTCGCCCTCTTCTTGTCTTCTTCCTGTCCATTCTCTTCATCCTTTTCTTCCACTTCCCCCTCCACCTCCCCTCCTTGTCCTTCTCCCTTCTCTTCCTTTGCATCTTTGTTCCATCCTATTCTTCCTCATGTTCTTCTCCTTCCTCCTCTTCTTCCTTTCTTCCATCCCTTTCCTCGTCCTCGGCTACATCCTCCTCCGCCTCTTCCTGCTCTTATTTTCCTCTTTTCTCCACCTCTTCCTGTCCTTCCTGTCCTTCCTGTCCTTCCTCTCCTTCCTCTCCTTCCTCTTCTACCTCGCATTCCACTTCCTTCTTAGTGAGCTGTGTAATGGGCAACTATTTCATGTAGTTAACAGGGCACTTCTCTTCTGTCTCCTCTTCTTTCTCCTCCTCCCTTGGGAGGATGAGCTTCTATGTGACCTTTTACTGTTCTGTTCTTCTTCCTCTTCATGCTCATCTCCTCTTCCTACTTTTCCTCCTCTGCTTCTCTCGCTCCGACCTTTTTCTTTGCCCTCTTCCTTTTCTCCCTCTTCCTTTTGTCCTCTCCTTTTCCTCCCCTTGGCTTTCTATTTGTCTTCTTCTCTCATCTTCTCCCACTTCTTATTTTTCTTCCTCCTCTTCATTCTTCCTCCCCTTCTTCCTCGTCTCTGTTTTCGTCTTCTTTCTCTTGTTGCTTCCTCCTCGTATTTCTTGTCGTCTTCCTTTTCTCCCCTCTTCTTTCCCTTTCCTCATGTTCTTCCTTCTCTTTCACCTATTCTCCTTGTTCATTTTTCTCCTCTTCCTTCCCCTTCTTCCTTTTCTTACTCTTCCTCCTCCTCCTCCTCCTCCTCCTCCTCGGCCTCGTTGTTATGTCCCCACTTCTTCTCGTCCATTCTATTGTTCTTCTTTTCTTCCTCTTTCCATGTTGCTCCTCCTTGCCCTCGTCCCCCATCCTCTTCCTCTTCTTCCTCTTCTTCCTCTTGTGCCTCTTTCTTGTCTCTCTCGTCTTGCCCCCCTCCCCACTTTTTCCTCTTCATCTTCTTCCTCCTCCCCTCCCACTTTCTCCCTCGTCTTTCCTCTTCCTCTTCTTCTTCTACATCTTCTCCTTCTTCTTGCCTTCGTCCTCTTCTTCTTCCCCATGGACTTATAATGCTAGAGCCTAGAAGCCTTTTTTTTTTTCCAGAAAAAGAAACAGTCTGGCTGTTAGGAGGGGTGATATGAGCAGCCCCACCTAACTGACTTTCTGGTTGCTCCAATCTATTGGTGGGGAGCGTCACCTGCTGGAAATCGGGTACAACGTCCCTATGCATACAACTTGAAGGCCTTAGATACATGTTGAAGAACGAATGTTTCCCTGCCAGCATTGATTGCCCCAGATAACCGGGGGACTGACTGTGCAGGGTGGGAGTCAGCAGGCCGTCAGTCCTAACCTCGCTCAGCCACGCCACTCCATCTTGGCTGCACAGGGTGGTGGCCAGCCGGCCGTCTATACTACCCCACTCAGCATTGCTCTGCCTTGACCACCCCCCTTCCTCTTCCAAAGCAGTCCCTCAGAATTGTTGCCGGTGTCTTGTCGATGTGCCCATTGCTCCGCACTCCGGAGAGTGATGCTGCCTAGGCCGCTCCATGCCACTGTAGATCCACCATGGAGAAACGGTGGGGTGGAAAGGGGTCAGCAAACTCTGAAGGAGGGTGCAGTGGAACTGCGGAGTCCACCTTGGTCCAACCTTTGAAGCAGATAATATAGTCCTGCCTAAACTCATCGCAACCAAGTTTCGGTTGCTGGCCTCCTTCCCATCGAACGTAGGCTATCCAGCCCCCGCCGTCACTCCCCAACCATTCCCCGGAGAATTGTTCGATGGCTCGTATTATGTCACTTTTCGTATGAAACGGATCTAATTGGGCTTTCACCTTTTGCCACTGCGCCATGAGTTCTTCGTGATCATATTGCCTAACCACTTCTGTGACTTCCTCCCCCTCTATTCTGACACTTTCAATCGTGTGTACGCACCATTTTCGCCAGAGGGCCCAAATGACAGCTCTCCTCCTTGTTCTGAACATGTTACAGGACTGGCACCAGGGCAGCGCTTAACCTTTTTGTTCTAGGTAGGTACGATCTATTAGCCAGTTGTTTGTGGGGAGGCAGTGGTGCTCTATCTGCCACTGCAGCGAGACCGATTTTGCAGGCTCAGATCTCGTTGCCATACCATCGGATGGGTCGAACAGCGTCCCTCCCCACATTTAGCTGATACAGCTACCGCTCACTTAGAATGCCCTTCACATTAATCCTCGGTCTCAGAGGCGGTAGACAGATTTCACTGACGAGGTAAATAAGGCCTTATTTACACCGCACCCTGTTCTACTTGTCGGGGTCCACTGCCACTCCTTCGGGTCAAGGGGGAGTTCTGCAAACGGGATTCCGAGGTGAAATGCAAACCGGTCCTGCGAGTGGAGTGCCCGGGTGCGGTACAAGTCCATCCTTTTCCACCGTAATGCTAGAAACCTAAGATCGGAGCGGTAGAACAAGTGGGAGCTGTATGGCGCACGTGAAATACCACTGCTTTTAAGTTTCAAGTTTTAACGTGATTTTCTATGTTACCGGGCTGAACGTCCGGGACCCCCCTGACCGTCCGGGGTTCTCCGGTCAGACAACTGGTCGGGCATCCTCCTGAGGCAGTCTGTCTAAAAGCCCGAACGGCAAAAAAAAAAAAAAAAAAAAAAAAAAAGATCCGAAAAAAAACTATGTTAAGCAGAAAAATAAACTGAACAACTTTTGCCTTGTGCAAGGAATATGAGCGAGAGCGATAGACAGAATCCAAATTGCAAAATCACGAAGTAGTCCAGATAGTCATGTAAGTAGAGAGCACAGTGCACCAAGATACCATCCGAATAAGAGTAATAGAATGAAGTCTAGTGCCAATGCCGACGCTCTCTGGTCACACCAACACTGTATCCAATGTCTCTCCTACTGTGCGGCGCCCAGCGCCCAGCCTACACTACTCTGCACATCTATCCTATCTATGTTCATGCAACTGGCTCACATCGAAGTTGAAGACTAATGTACGTGACGTCATCACCAATGCTGACCGCCAGCATACACCAGGTACGTTCTTTCTCCTCCCCTCATCATACCCTGTCTCTTCTTTGCATACGCCTCCTACCCGAAGACCACCATCGCCATCACCCACTTACCCGCACACGCAGCCCAGCTATGGCCGCCTTGCGCCTGCTGCCACAGCAGCTCACCTCTCACCTCTTAGCGCTCGTGCGCGCCCCCGCCTGCCTGCATAACGCAGTGTTGCACGGCAAATTTGCAGCGTGGCCGCAATGCCTGCTCAAGCCAGAATGTCCTAGCCCTGGGGTACACACTTCCCTTTATGGAAAGTGTCTGCTGCTGTCCAGCCTGGCCAGGCGTGTGGGGGGCCCAGTAGCTTGCCTCTGGCCCCAAGTGTCTGCGCCCAGGCCCAGTTTCAGATACTGGCCTGGGCCTCGCGCAGTTAGGCATGTCATGGCAGCCACCTAGCCTCCAAGTGTCTACAGCAATCTCATTGGCTCGCGGCTCATGTGTGACGACAATGCTGCTTCCTCATTGGCCCGCGGCCAGTCCGTGATGTGTCGGGCTCACACAGCGTGTGC